ATGTTTATTGGAGAATAAGATACAAAACTTTAAGGAAGCAAATTCTTCTCTTGATTATTATTATTTCTTATATTATTTATGTGATATAATTAATCATGTGATATAATATGAAACTATATTGTTATGCAAGTTCAATATTATTTTTATAAATGTTTATTTTTATTTGATACTATAATATTGAACTATGTAGTTGAATTACTTAATGTACATTGTAATTCAAATTTACAATGTAATTTATTTAATATGTGATATTATTGAATTTTGTATGAATTAATGACTGGTTTGTGTATGTAATACAACAAGCAAAAATTGACTAGTCCAACTATGTCAATTTTTCTGATAGTCAAAGGAAAACGATCTATATTAGTGTTTAAGACACGTATAGCTGTAAATGGGTTGAATAAGAGAAGATTTTCTAAAAACTCGAAAGAATTTAATGGAAAATGTTATGGATACACTAAGCAAATACACCGAGACAAGTTAAATCAAGCTAGTTAGCTCTAATATACAATTTAGCTAAAAGCTAAAATGCTATTGAGTTGCAAACTAGTTAGCTTAGTTATAAGCTAAAATAATTAATAAGGTGCACAGAACATAAGAGGAAGATGAAAAATTATCAGTTGATTCTAGCTCTTAACTTAATAGTAAAAAACATGAGGGTGATAAGTAGTCATTTTAGCCATAAGCTATTTGAGATATATATCATATCTGCTCATGTAGGAGGGAATAATAATACTACTTGTAAAGTAGTAGTTTTTGAAGAATATTTTTCAAAACAAATTACTCTACTACCAAGATAGACTACTTAAATAAGTGTGCACTAAAGCTATAAGCTACTAGAATTGATAACTAAACAAACTTAACTCCAAGCTAGCGGTAATAGCTGAGAAGTGGGTACTCATCATAACTTAGTAGTGAGATATGAGAAGAATATGTAATAATACTTGAGAAGTGAGTGCTCACTCTGTGGTGATTGTATCCAAAGCTTAAATAATAAGATAATTATTTGCTTAAATGATTGAGTTATGTGATGTGTGACACATGAAAGGTTATGACATGTTAATATGACTGACTTAACATGAACCTAAACATGAATAACTCAATTCATAAATACAAGAGATGTAGAAACAAATATTAATTAAAGCCCATTGTAATTAATATCTCTAACATTAATTCACAGTAACGTCAGTGACATATTATAAGAACAAGCTAGAGATAAAGTGAATACATATGCACTAGAGACTGTTAGACATGCTTGTTGAGAAGCGAATATAGAACCTTGGAAAGGTAGATGGGATAAAATATTTAATATATGGTATTTCAAGAGTTGAAAAATCATAAGAAATATATCATATATAAAATTTCAGGATTATCCCAAAGTTGTGGGGGATATTATCCATAGATGAAATTTGTTATAAGTTACCTCACCAAATAAGAAATATTTATAAATGTAGGATTCTTAATCCTAAAAGATTTTGGATGGAACCAAAAATCATTTATAGTATTATAACAATAGTGCATGTTGTTTCCTATGAGAAAAATATTATGGAACAACTAGAAAAGTTCTTTTTCCAGTGGAAGAGCTGAGTTATTTGTTCTAGTTGCATAGTAAAGTGTGCAAACTTATAAGTCCTTGAGTGGATTAAAGCTGGTACTAAGACAATGACATAAATGTGATGTATAAATCATTGTATGCCTTACAAAAATTAATGATATACTAATTAGTATATTTGATATGAAAGATTTAACATCTGATAACATAAGTATATTCTCAATAGAGTGAGATTGAGATAATACTAGTTATGAAAGCAAAAGTCTGGCTAACTTTTGTAGATGTAAATCTCAAATATAAATACTAGTCAAAGTATATCATTGGTTAAGACTGCAAGGCATTTTAATAACTGTGTTTAATTACACATTTTCAATCCAGGATCAGATCACTGAAAAATAATAAATTGGGTAGTTGAGATACACCCTAAATCCAATATTGCATAGATCGAGGTATCTAACTAAATTGGAGGTGTAACAGTATTGCAATCTGGATATGGGATATTAAAGACTTCAAATCTAAGAATGGATATGTCTTTTATATTAAAGGTGTAGTTGTATGTTCTTAATATAATTCAAAGTTAGAAACTTTGAATAAATTAAATAGGAAAGCCAATAGACTTCACCTAGAGGACATTTCAAAATAAGTCTACACCTGTGCCACTAAAGAAAATGATATTGCTAACAATAAACAATTTTAGGGCACAAAGTATGCAGTTGCTCTCACCTGGAGAAATCTCTGCAGAGTGTAATATTTCTAAACACAACCTTGTGGCCACATATAAAATTAAGGGTTGTACTAGAGAGCAATTGTACAGTTCATTGAGGGGAATGGGATTAAAAGCCGAAAGCTAACGAGTCACCTTAACACATATAAAATTAAGGGTTGTACTAGAGAGCAATTGTACAGTTCATTGAGGGGAATGGGATTAAAAGCAGAAAGCTAACGAGTCACCTTAATAGAAACCCAACCTAGTTGACTGGAGATCCCAAGATCTAGGTTCAAAGGAACAACAGAAATTTTGAGTGACTCACCAGAAGCACTGGGAAGATATAAATCTTCTACCCATTTCTATGATGAGACAGTGCTACCTACAGTGAATATTAGGATAAGCTACGCTTTTAATGACTCTTATATCTTGAAAATTCAAGTGGGGTATGGTAGAATACTCTTAATAAGAAGTCACCTATATGAGTGTGAAGTGTGGCCACTTGTATGAGAACTATAAAGGCTAAGTTTTCTAGAGCACTCATTGAATACCAAGAGTTGTTCAGGGCCAAAATGAACACAACAATGAGAACCAACTTTGTGAGGAAAGGTACTGTGTGTTTGTTATTGTCTTGGTTTACACAAACAGCTGAATAGTTCAAGATATCGCGTTCACTGGTTAGCCAGTAAATCCGATAGCAATACACTAGGGAAGGTTCAAAGCCAAAAGCTACCTATCCTGATGCAGTAACTTTCCGACTATACTCTCTCTAGTGTCTGCATAATCATTTTTCCATTTAAGCAACCAATTTTCATTCATGTGGGGGATTGTTGGTATTTTGAATTAAAATTGCCAAAGGGTTGCATTGCACTTAAAAGGTGCTATAAAGGGTTGTGAGAGGAAGAGGTGCAACCCAAACTTATGTCTGTTCAAAGTGAATAGCCACACCCAAAGTGAATAGGTGTGTGAAAGGTAGTTTAAATTAAATTTTGTAGAAGGGATGTGAGTAAAAGGACACATCCATTAACCAAGGGGCACCAATTTTTCTATAAATACCCACCCTTAGTTGCCATTTAAAGAGGAATTTATTATTCTCTCCCTCTCTCTAGACTTGAACCTAACCCAAGTGAGTTCAAGCCATGGTCAAGTGGTCTGAGCCACTTAGGCCCAAAACCAATTTCATTGAGCCATATTAAATTTGGTCCGAGCCATTTAGTTCGGATTGCACCCAATTCATTATTTATATAGTATAAATGCATTTTTGAGTCAGAGAGAGTATTACACGAAGGAGGTTCGCCGTATCCACGAGTCTGTAGTGCTGCTACTAGTGGATGTAGACCGTTGTATCCTGTGAGATAGACGTCACTGAGTCCGTTAGCACTATAGCGGGGCGAATCTGTCTTAAGGACATAGTATCCAATACTAGCCTCGGTCCAGGTTTATTCCTTTTATATTATTATTATTTTCTTGCTTTATTTTGCATATTTAATTAAATATAGAGTTGCATATTTAATTAATAGTTTCTTAGCATATTGTTAATTATCACATGACATATTAGTATAAACATTTTGTTATATCTTAAATGTCACATGAAGCATATATTTTTTACCAACAATCTACCCTTACACAATATACATAATAATGTCTTCAACTTTGTAGTATATTCACTTGATCTTGAGAGTTGAGACTTCTTGAGTCTTGATGTTATATTCCAGTAAGGTTTTATGCTTGGTTATTGGCAAGCTAATAAATGTCTGTTTGAGTCGAGAATTGCTTATTGGCTTTGTTTTTGTTCAACTTGAGTTGTGGATCATGTCATATTGTCCTTAAGTTTATGTGGGTGAAAACTAAGTTTTGTTCAAATCCAAATTTTAGTTGATTCAAATCTTTAAAAATAAAATAATAATAAATAAATAAAACACAACAACAACAACAACAACAACAACTGCAAATTTTCTTATCAACCGTACCCCATCTATTAGGAATGATCTCCAAAACTCTTACTGGAAATTGCAGATGGAGAGATGATGGTGATGATTATTTATGGTTTGGAAATTGCAGAGAAAAGAGAACCAGTAAGCTTCATATTGTTGTTCAAGAAGAGCAAACGGAGGTGGTGAACATGAGTCCCCAACACATAACCCAACTCCACTGACCTAATTTACAACTTTCCTAGGAAAAAAAAAAAATTAACAACTTTCCCATATTTTTATACTGCCTCTTCTCTTTTGTCACTAACTCAGTATTTAAATAGGAAAATTAGAGCATGGATGATGTTTGCAAGCACAATCACCAGTAACATTTGCACATATGCAAATCCCAATTACATTATTAATAGATATTGTGGTAAGATTGAAGTAAATGTCTTCGTAATCAACCACCAACATCATATTCTATACTATTTTATATTCATCCTATTTCTATACATATTCCTTCCTCCTCTTCTTTTTTTTTCTTCCTTTTTGTTGGACCTATTTTACATCAATTAGGATGGAGGGAAATTATGTTATATATACCCTCATTTTCTAACTCACTCTTCAAATCCAGTAACAAATTTTCTTGGCATGAAGGATGCACTTGCAGAACAACAATCTATGTGTTATGGCTCACTTCAAACTTTTCCATATGAACAATCCATTATAAACTATAGAAACAATTAGGATATCAAACATGACAATTGAAATGAAGGGCAAGGGGCTATGATCTACAAGAAAAACACCATACTTGAGTAGAAAAATCCTCTAACCAACATCAACATGCATCAATCATATTCAGCAAATTTTCAGTATACATACCAATAACATTTTAAAATACGGTCTTTAAAATTCATGAAACAAAGACTTACTTTTATTTGTATATCAAAAGTTTAGTTTCACATTCAATCTTACTAATTAAATTGTTTCAAGTGCTAGATTACCCATCATTCTAAGCAAGGGAACAGGACACTTAGTGACAATATCAAACCTTGAAGGATTTGAGGCATGTCCAAACAAAGACAAGCTGAGCATAGCAAGCTCTGCCAGAGACAACCTGGAGGACAGAAATCCTTGCCAGTAATGAGGATCCAAGTCGAAAAAAGCATCGAAAAACCTCCTACTCCCATCCAAATCAAGCTTCAATAGTGTCTCCATTCCGAAACAGTAGTATTCCCTCATAGACCTCCTCTCCAAATTCCACAACCCATTCCAAACCCTACTATAAAGTGGCTTTCCTCTAATCATCCGAGTCGAGCCCAAGCACTCTGCAATGGCACTGGCGAGGACCGGGACTAGAGCCAGGGTCCGAGCCACCATGTACCCTGTCGAAGGATGGGCTAGCCCAGCTGTCCCGCCCATGCCCATCACACTTTGAGGCATTTTGGGGAGAGGACCTCCCATAGGGATCAAACACTTCTCCTCTTCAATCACACTCTTCACTCTAATCCCCAATTGCCTCAGCCTAGCTACCATCCTCTTCTTCACCTCCATATACGACAACACAGGCCGGCTCACCAGGGAAGTCTCTTCCAGGAATACCAGATTCGAATCGAATGGCATTGCATACAAAAACGTTGGGAATCTTGAATTGCTAACCCGTAAATTCGGCTCATTTCCCAGATGGGTATCTCTCCAATCCATTAGAAGCATCTTGTCCAAATCAAAAGGGTGACTCTCAACTTCTGCCAGAATACCATGAGCAATCTGATAACCATGGTTTCTTGGCTTGTCATACTCCACAAAAGTGCTTGCAAACCCACTAGCATCAATGACTAAGCTACCCTTTAGCTCACTCCCATCATCGCACACAATCAAAGACTCAAACTCCTGGTGCTCAACGCTCCAAGCCTTGGCCTTCAAGAACTTGACACCATTCGACACACAACCCTCTAACAACTTCGTTTTCAGTCCATTCCTGCTCACCCTTCCGTAGGCTCGGTCCAAGTACTTGGCCTTGTCGTCGCTGACATAGACACAAGCCATGGACCATGTCTTGTCCAACCAATCTTCAAGCCCCAAGCTCTCAAATTCGTCAACCCAGACACCGTAGTTGTTTGGCCACGCAGAAAGTGGTGATGGGTCAACGCAGCAGACCTTGATTCCATAACTTGACACCTGCCCCGCCAGGCCAAGGCCGGCTGGACCGGCACCAATGATGATCACATCAAACCGGGACCGGTCCGATGGATCGAGCCTTGGGAGGTCAAAGCTCAAGGACTCTGGTTTTGATTTGGGTTCCAAGTCTAGGAAGCTAGCAGAGTTGGTAATTTGGATTCTGTGATGAATTTTTCTTGGGTGGTTTTGGGTTTTTGGAGGGAAAGATGGAGTGAATGATGAATTGGACCTTTGAGGATTGCGCAGCATAAGAGATGAAGGTGGCCTAGTAAGAGCTTCCATTGAATAGAGCAACTGAAATTTTGGAATGGCCTAACCGGAGTTGGGATGGAGAAAATTGGAGAGAGAAAAGGCAGAGATGCCCAAATAAAAATGGTCGAAGGAGTTGGGTGAGAGAGAGAGACAGAGACAGAGAGGAATCAGAGTACTATGACTAGGAAAAGATGCCCAGATAATAGAAAAGAAAAGTACAATTATGTCCTACCTTTTTTCAAAAGAAAATAAATAAAAAATCATATAAATTTTTAATAAGATTAAGATCCATAAGCCCTTTTTGAAGTGCTTTTCAATTTCTTTTCTAAACTACCCAATTTTTCACTTATTTTCTTTTTTCCTGTAACTCTATGTTTTACTAATACCATTATCAAATAGGACTACATTGTGCAATTAAAGCTTTGTTTCGTTTTTTCGTTTCTACGTGTTTACGTATTAGTTAATTAATGAATATCATATTATAAATTTTAATTGTAATTAATTTAATTAAAATTCAATTTCAAAATTCTTTTGTATATTTTATGACAATCATTTTTAATACATAAAAATTAAAAATTCTATTAAAAATTAATAAAATATTATAATTTTTTTATTGAAACAGTTTGAATATAATTTTATCCTTTTGAAAATAAATATATGAAATGAAAAAAAAAAAAAATTTGCTGATAGAAAATTTTTTGACATGTTTAATTAGTCAACTATTAAGGTTATAAATGGAAATTTGGTTGCTTTAGAACTTAAATGAAAATATATATATATATATATCAAAATCTTTATGAAAATAATAATATATAGGACTTATTTCTCTTTTATAGGTATAATTTAATTGTTGTTTTTCAAATCCAAAGCAGTCTAACAGAAAAAACAGGGCTAAAAATGGGATATACTAAAATTGTGACAAAAAAAAACATTATGAATCTCCAATAATTTAATCACAATAGATAGTAGGATATAATAAAATTCTGACAAAGAATTATGAATCACCAATAATTTTAATACTTGGGATCACAATTTATTTTTTTATTTACTTATTTATTTTGATAAATTAGTCCAAGAAAATTTATATATCTGACACCTCTATTTGAAAAATTATAAGTTGCCTCTATTAACTATATTGCCTCTATTAACTATATTACTGGGTAATATTGGTCTCGTTATTATAAAAATGCAAATCTAATCATATTTTGATTTTTGTGAATAGGTGAATACCATTTCTAAGTCACATAAAGTGTGAGGAAAGTGATATCGAATTAAAGGGTGAAAGTGTGAAATGAGCAAAATTAAGACACAAAAAGTAAAAATGTTGAGACTACACAGAGAATGTGCTCGAAGCGTGAGAACAGTGCCGATTGAGAAAGATTGTGTGACTCAACACCATTCAAATCTAATCAGATTTTGATTTTTGTAAGTAGATGAATACCGTTTCTAAGTCACATAAAATGTAAGCGAAAGCGAGAACGAATTAGATAGCGAGAGTGTGAAAGAGACAAAATTAAGTCATAAAGAATAAAAATAAGAGCGAGATTGCGGATCAGAAAAGATTGTGTGACGTAACAGGCAATTTTGGAATCAAAAGATAATGTACAGTAAATTTTCATGTCCAAGTCAAATTTTGATAAAACTCCATTAATTTGAAAATTTTGATTTTAACTCCATTATTTTGACCCTTAACGTTCAAAACTTGATTTTTTTTTTAATAATCCCTATAATAAAATTTTGACAAGGAACATTAAGAATTCTAATAATTTAATATGTGAGCCTCTTTTTTAATAATCCCTATAATAAAATTTTGACAAGGAACATTATGAATTCTAATAATTTAATATGTGAGCCTCACAATTTATTTTTTTATTTACTTATTCATTTTGATAAATTAGTCAAAGGAAATTTAAATATCGACACCCTTATTCGAAAAACTGCAAGTGATGATTTTTTCTTGGGTGGTTTTGGGTTTTTGGGAGGGACAAATGGAGTGAATGATGAATTGGACCTTTGAGAATTGGGCAGCATAAGAGATGAAGGTGGCCTAGTAAGCTTCCATTGAAAAGAGAAGCTGAAATTTTGGAACGGCCTAACTGGAGTTGGGATGGAGAAAGTTAGAGAGAGAGAAAGCAGAGAAATTTTGGAATGGCCTAACTGGAGTTGGGTGGAACCGTAACGAGTTGGGTGAGAGAGAGAGAGAGACACAGGTATCAGAGTAGTAACTAGGAAAAGATGCCCAAATAATAAAAAAGAAAAATACAATTAAGTCCTACCTTTTTAAAAAGAAAATAAATAAAAAATCATATAAATTTTTAATAAGTGGGTGGTTGGGGTTGCTTCTCTGTTACTGAAAAACACTTTTATTTTAAAAATTTTGTTAAGGTAGGAGTCCTTGTTTTTTGGTAACTAATTTTCTTTTAGACAATTTAATCCCCTTTATATTTTTTATAAATACAATTGTATCCCTTCTACAAACAAATAACAAACTACATGGACTCTGTAACAAACTAAAATCCTAATTTATTTTGGGAATCTCTAGCCTTCCAATCTCAGTTTATTTTCGGACACTCAATTATAAAATTGTTAGATGTTTAATTTTTAATAAATTATGATTTGTAATTTATTTTTAAAATAACTATAATACATTTATTCTATTATGTTAAATAAAAAGTAATAAGATTATGAATTGTGGTTAAAATGTTTAGTTTTATTTTATGAAATATTGTCTATATTATAAAATATTATATTATTAAATTTCATTATTAGATAGCATATGAACAAATTTGTTTATTTTATTACCGAAAGATCCCAAAATAGATACAAATTAATCATCATTAAAATATGTTTAACTCATTTATATTTTAGTACTCAATATAAATTCGATATCATAAACAAAATAAGTGATATTTAAAAATTAAAAAAAAAAAAAAAAGTTGATCTTTATTAATTATTGAACTTAATGAAATTTTATAATATTTAATATTAGGGAATTAATATATGTTTAGTGTAAGAATAATATAGTAAAATTAGTAATAAAAGTGCTTTAAGCAACATTATTTCCAAACAAATTTACAAGTGCTTCAAGTATAAAAAGTGCTTTATATAATATGTCACCAAACGCTTAACTGTATTTTACTGACAACACTTTTATAACAGCTCTACTATTAAATTAAAAGCGCTTTTAACATTCTAATAGAAATCCATAAACCCTTTTTAAAGTGCTTTTCAATTTCTTTTCTAAACTACTCGGGGCCCGTTTGGCAACCATAGGTGCTTTGTGCTTTTGTTTTGATCCGAAGTAAAACCAATTATTACTTTTAAAGTGTGTTTAACACTATTTAGAAACTTGTTTGGTAAGGTAAATTTGTTACAAGATTTTTAGAAACAAAAAAATATGAAAGCATGTTTAGTAAAAAGTGCTGCAAGTTTGAAATTTTAAATGGTTAGTTTAAAATGTTATTTTAGAAAGAATTTTTTAAAAATAATTTTTTTTTGAAATATATATATGAACAGTGCTTTGCTGCAGTGCAGAAGCAAACAAAAGTATCATTTTGATACTTTCAATTTTGGTCTTAATTTTGGAAGCACTTCTGTACTATTCAAAAGCATAGCAAATATTACTAAACATGTTTCGTGCTTTTGTTTCGCTACAATACGCTAGCAAAAGCAAAAAACACAAAGCAAAAGCATTAACTAAACAGACCCGATGCTTTCATGTTTTTGTTTTCAAAAATCTTGTAACAAATTTGTGTTACTAAACAAGTTTCGAAATAGTGTTGAACGCACTCTAAAGAAAAAACATTGCTTATGATTCAGGTCAAAACAAAAGCATGAAGCAAAAGCGGTTGCTAAACGGACCCTCAATTTTTCACTTATTTTCTTTTTTCCTATAACTCAATTTTGTACTAATACCATTATCAAATAGGACTGCATTATGCAATTAAAGCTTTGTTTCGTTTTTTCGTTTGTACGTGTTTACGTATTAGTTAATTAATGAATATCATATTATAAATTTTAATTGTAATTAATTTAATTAAAATTCAATTTCAAAATTCTTTTGTATATTTTACGAAAATCATTTTTAACACACAAAAATTAAAAATTCTATTAAAAATTAATAAAATATTATAATTTTTCTTATTGAAACAGTTTGAATATAATTTTATCCTTTTGAAAATAAATATATGAAATGAAAAAAAAAAATGCTGATAGAAAAATTTTAGACATATTTAATTAGTCAACTATTAAGGGTATAAATGGAAATTTGGTTGCCTTAGAACTTAAATGAAAAAAAAAAAAAAATCAAAATATTTATGAAAATAAGAATATATAGGACTTATTTGTCTTTTATAGGTATAATTTAATTGTAGTTTTTCAAATCCAAAACAGTCTAACAGAAAAAAAAAAAAAAAAAAAAAAAAAAAAAAAAAAAAAAAAAAAAAATTTATGAATCTCCAATAATTTAATCACAACAGATAGTAGGATATAATAAAATTCTGACAAAGAACATTATGAATCTCCAATAATTTTAATCTGTGGGCCTCACAATTTATTTTTTATTTACTTATTTATTTTGATAAATTAGTCAAAGGAAATTTAGATATCTGACACCTCTATTCGAAAAATTATAAGTTGTCTCTATTAACTATATTATTGGGTAATATTTGTCTCATTATTATAAAATTACAAATCTAATCAGATTTTGATTTTGTGAATAGCTAAATACCTTTTCTAAGTCACAAAGTGTGAGCGAAAGCAAAAGCGATATCGAATTAGAGGGTGAAAGTGTGAAATAGGCAAAATCAAGACACAAAAAGTAAAAATGTGAGTGAGACTGCACACAGAATATGCTCGAAGCGTGAGAACAGTACTGATCGAGAAAGATTGTCCTACTCAGCACCATTCAAATCTAATCAGATTTTGATTTTGTAAGTAGATGAATACCATTTCTAAGTCACATAAAATGTAAGCGAAAGCGAGAACGAATTAGAGAGCGAAAGTGTGAAAGAGACAAAATTAAGTCACAAAGAATAAAAATAAGAGTGAGACTGCGGATCCGAAAAGATTGTGCGACTTAACAGGCAATTTGGGAATCAAAATATAATGTACATTAAATTTTCATGTCCAAGTCAGATTTTGATAAAACTCCATTAATTTGAAAATTTTGGTTT